AAGAGTCTACCGCTTGGAATCAGGAAAGATTTAACTTTGGCTAAGCCCTTTGACTCCTAGATGTCGTTATTAGTTCTCTTTACCACCTACCATACAATCCTTATGATATTAGTTTGGAGAATACGGTATTGGATCAATGAGTAATCCCCGACCCAGCATTTTTCTTTATCCTCATCGATCATCGCTTGTCTGCTTGGTATTATATTGATATTGTATGGTCTCGGTCAGTGATTAAAATTACCAGAACCTCAACTTGAATTAATATTTGTATAATGTTTTGACCACTTATGTGTCTGACACTTTTTTTCGCTGTATCCCGGGTGACACTTACGACTTTCAATTCGTCCATTCCGTTGCTGGTAACCACTGATACAAGATACCTACAATGGGAAAGTAAGATCCGAGTAAACTTTTTCCCTTTTCTTTTGGTTTGTTAATGAGAAGGCGGATCTGGCGTTGTCTGTTCGAAAGAAGTTTAAGTTGCTTCCCACCAGAGTTAAGTCTTCGAGTAACACGAGTTCTTACAAACAAGCTTCAACATCTGTTTTATATGAACCCTCTTATAAGAACGTAGAATCAGTGTGACCCAGGTGTAAAGAACACGCTAAGATTCCATTTAGCTGAAACTGATCAATGGCACCCATTAAAGGAAACATCTTGTACCGAAGTTCCTTGTCTTTGTCTCAAGAGAATATAGCGGATCAGATATGTATAAACCACTTTTAAACTTAAATTTGAAGTGGTCAGAATGTTACTCGTTTTCATGGCTTAAATCTGGAGTTGAAACTGTGATTACTTTTACTGGATGTTATCAACCCCACCCCCTCCCCTCCCGCGACGTTTCACTTGAACATTGGCGGCTTCTCTTATGCAATAGTCGCAAGGTGAGAGAAAGTGAATCTTTCAGTTTTTATTTCTTTGTCTTCGTTCCCAGTGAATATCGATTAAAAAAATTACCCGTGGACTTTTCAACTGACATGGAAAAAGCCAAAGTATGTGAGTCCTTCCATCGGCATTAAATCATCCGCCCTGATCTGCCGCCGGTGTTTCTTTGTTTAGCTCACAAAGTCGGCTTCTGTTTTTGCCAACGGGATGAAGATTAACCGATTTGCAACTGTCATTTCTCATGCAATTCAACTGACATTGAGATTCGTCTTCAACAGCGGTTGTTTCCATAACGTGACCGATTAAGGCATGGTCTGAAATAAATTCTTTTAATATAAATGCCCTTAAAAAAATTAAAGCATGCGGATTAATTGTTCTATTTCCAATGTAAGTTTTCACTTACCAACTTGAGTCTCAAAAACATTTCC